ATCTGGTTTTGGTATTAATATGGAATTTAGAAAGAAAGATAGTTTTCTCATCTTGTTTCAGGTATTAATCTTCAATTTGCTCATGTAGATAGTTTTCTTGTCTGGTTCCAGGTATAAATCTATAATTAGTCGTCCACAAATAGTTGTCCTGTCTTGTTTCAGGTATTAATCTGGAACTTGTTTTTGTTGGTCATTGAGATGGCTGCCCTATCTGGTTTCAGGTATTAATCTCTGATCTGAGAGAAAGGAAGATAAGTTTCCCATCTGGTTTGGGGTGTTAATGTCCAATCTGCTCATGTAGATAGTTTTCCTGTCTGGTTTTAGGTATTAATCTACAATCGGTCATCCACAGATAGTTGTCCCGTCTTGTTTCAGGTATTAATCTGGAACTTTTGAAAATTGTTAACATTCATCTGTCAATCTTTCCTGAAAAGGTGAAGAATTAGATGCATGCAATATCATGATGCATGGAGTGAAAATGATGCTCTCAAAATAAATGAGATTGTGATATCTGCATTTATGCTGCATATGCTATGACACTTGTAAAATGGTGTATGAATGCAATGTATGAACGTGTTAGTTGCTATATTGTTGTATTGTTGAACCAGGGAAAATAAATCTCTGATTGTTGTTGGGGATGAAGAGTGTAAATCTTCAAATTTTTTTGAAATTGAAATGCTGGGAGATGGATCTCCGTTGTTAGAGAAATAAACTCTGTTGAGGAAGGGAAACTCCATGAACTTCTTGGGGATTTTTATGAAATCCTGTCGGGGAATCCTGAAAAGCTTGTGACCCAGGTTAGGGAATTCTTTAAGATGTCGGGGCAGTAATTGGAGATTATTGCTACTTCGGGGATATAAGAACACCTGACATCATTAGTTTGTATGTTGAGGATATGGCAATGACTTTATAGTAGGATACCCTTGCCTCTGTACCTGCTGGAGAAAGTATCTGCACGGATTTTGTGGATGGCCTTTAGAAATTGTCCTGTTTCTTAAAGCCATTAGTAATTGTCTTTCTGTTTTTTATGCGTGTATTTGTAAACGTTAATCACATTCAAATGCATATGTTCAAAAATAATCACTGGACGTTTTCGCAAAAAAAAACAGAAAAATAAAAAACGAATAGTTTTGCACTTTCAAAGAGATAACTTTGCATTAATTTGAAGAAATTGTGCCTATAATAGGCATTTTTGTACAAGGAGACGAACATCCTAGTAAGAGAATGTCGTCGTAAGAAGGAAAGCAATACAAAATAGTATATAAAGAAAAACAGCTATGTGAAATAATCCCATTGATTTCCCATTCTGCTATTGCCTTTATGTCTTTGAGCGTCTCATCTCTTTGCTGCTTGTCTGAAGCTGACTGGATTGATTAGTACCACTTGAGCTTGATCGTTGATACTGAAGATTGGTTGTAAGGTGATCCAACGTGACATAGTCATACGTTTAAAATCCCTAACTTTTTCCTGGACCACCCTTTCGGGTTTTCAGTCCACCGGGATACCCTTTTTTTCCCAAGCCGCCTTTTCAGGTTTTCGACTTGCCGGGTGTACAGATTTTATTTCATATGTATATCCCTAATTTTTGCCCGAACCATTTTGGTTCTCCGGGATGCCCTTATTTTTGCCAAGGCCAATCAACCTAGCAGGTCTTTTTTCATGCGTAGTATCTTTTAATTATGTTCGCGTTTACAGGGTGTAGTAGGTCGTCACTGTCCATAGTGGGTAAGATCATGGCTCCACCCGAAAATATGTTATTGATCATAAATGGTCCTTCGTATGTAGGAGTCTATTTTCTCCTGGGATGACCTTGCGGCAGGATAATGTGCATGATTACTAGGTCACCAGCCTGATATACCTAACGTCTGACCTTCTTGTTAAAAGTTTTAATCATACGTTTTTGGTACATTTGACCATGACAGACAGCCGCAAGCCTTTTCTCGTCAATTAGGTTTATTTGGTCAAGTCGAGTCTGAACCCATTCGTCTTTATTCAAACCTACGTCCTTCAAGATTCTCAAGGAAGGGATCTTGACTTCAATGGGTACGACAACTTCCATATCGTATACCAAAGAGAAAGGAGTTTCCCCTGTTGATGTGCGCACTATGGTACGATAACCATTAAGAGCAAATGGTAACATCTCATGCTAGTCTTTATATGTCACCGTCATCTTCTGTATGATCTTTTTGATATTTTTATTAGCCACTTCTACATCGCCATTCATCTTCGGCCGGTAAGGAGAAGAGTTATGATGTTGGATCTTGAATTGTATGCAGAGCTCGATGATCATAGTATTATTGAGATTGGTAGCATTATATGTGATGATTCTTTCTTTAATTCCATACCGACATATAAGGTTATGTATGATGAATCGGGCCACAACGTTATTGGTAACAAAAGCAAATGAGGCTGCCTCGACCCACTTTGTGAAATAGTAAATGGAAACCAGGATGAAGCGGTTCCCATTAGAATTGTAGGTCTAATTTCCCCAATCATATCGATGCCCCACATTGCGAATAGCCAGGGAGCAGTCAAAATGTTCAACGGGATCGGAGGCACATGTACTTTATTAGCATAGATCTAGGACTTGTGACAAGTTCATGAATGCTGATAACAGTCTTCTTCCATAGTGGACCAGTAGTATCCTACTCGTAGGATCTTTTTAGCCATTGTGTTCCAACTAGAATGGGTGCCAAAGGTACCTTCGTGTAAATCATACATAATCTTCTCTGCTTCACTTTTGTCTGCACACTGGAGTGAAACAACCGGCTGAAAATCATCAAAACAATGAAGTCGCCATCGAATGTTTTTTATCCCACAGGAAGGAAAGGTAAACATCGAGTAAACCTGAGAAGGGTGAAATCAAGGTCGAATGACCAAGAGATAAGGGTAAGGGAGTCTGTTACGCGAGGGGAAGGTATTAGCACCCCACACGCTCGTAGTACTCTACGGTATCCTCTCTTGTTGTCTATCTTATGTGTGTGTTTAATCTATGCTTACTGTTTATTATTGCTAAGGGGAGAATGCATGCGAAAGAAAGGGGGGAAATGTAGGGAAAATAAAAGTTGTGCTCGTTCGGGCCCTACCCCGATGCCTACGTATCCCTTTTAAGAAATCAAAGCAGCCGTAGTTCGGCTTATATGTTTTTGTTTGTTTGTATTTTTTACTGAAAAGTATTAATTTCGCCTTCTGCCGCAACTCGACCTTTGGAGACTTACGCGTCAGCACAAAAGTGAATTAACATGCTCTTTTGAAAAGGTTCGGAGGAAATGTGCCTAGGCACACAAAAAAGTTTTGAATTGTTTAGTGTTTTAAATGAACGATATTAATTTCTCCTTCTGCCGTAACTCGACCTTTGGAGACTTACGCGTTAGCACATCAGTGAATTAATATGCTCTTTTGATAGGGTTTTGAAGAAAGGCTCGAAGACAAAAAGAATTTTGTGTTGGTTGGTATTTTTGCTTGTAAATAACAACTAGTTAATCTCAAGAGAGAGATTTTAGTCATTTCTCCACTTATTCATGAAATAAGTCTTTGAGACTTGAACCATACCAAAGCTTAGAATAAGAGAATAATAAGGTCGAGAAGAAACCCGCTTATCATCTCTCATACTTAACAAATATATGATTCTCGTCAGTAAATTTTTTTTTTAGTATTTTGAAGTTTGTAAAAAAAAGGAATTTTGTTTTGAATGCATATGCGAAAAGAAAAAATAAAAGTCAAGGGGAGACTAGCCTATTTCTAAACCTAATGTTATCATGCGTTGTTAGACCTAAAGTTAGAATTTTGAGGGATTCTACCTACTGCTAGCATGCATAGCTTTAGAATCCTAATGTCACGTTTAGTTCAATTAAATCGAAGATTAAATTTGAACCGAAATATCCTAAGGGATCATGAAAGATTATATAAACAAGTAAAATTAGTAGCAAGTATTAAAATATTGTACACGATTCATACTAAAAGATTGCAGACAAAATACACGATACAAAAATGAATAACACTAATGATTAAAATTGGCTAAAAGGTTAGCGAAAGAAGAAATATATTCCTAATTAATTTCTAAAACGCCTTCTAATATTTTTACCATTTTTATTGGTTTTGATTACAATTTTTTTCATAACAAAAATCTATAAAAAAAACTTCAAAAAAAACGTCCTAAATCTTAAGTAAAGGAGTATCAAGGGGGGGGGTGCTAATTGGAATGCAGAAATCAAAAGGGCACTAAGCCCATTAAAATGAGCCAACAAGCATTTTTTTGTTGCAGACACATGGTTTAACCAAAAACGCATAGAACGGGCCTATGGAAACTCAGTTCAGCCCAAGCATTTACCAGCAATTTATCTATTTTCTCAGTACATCATTTCAAAAATAAATAAAAATTAAAAATACTAACAAGAACGAATACGGTGCCGTTTGGTCCAAAGGAATAGGGTTTCAAGGTTTGTGGCTATTGGAATTTTCTGAAGCACGATTTCTCTCTTCTCTTCTTCACGCAGCGGCGCGCCACTCATCTCCGGCCAAAAACATCGTCGTCCTTCCTCACATTTCACACCTTTGTTTGTGATATTTCCTCTTTCCCAATTTCAACTCAAATTCACATATTCAGAAAAATATCCAAATCCAGAATTATGAATGAAAGATGAAGGTGCGAGATTATCGGATTTCAGTCACATTTGAATAATCATTCAATCAAGTTTCATGCGGGATGATGAAAGTAAGAGATTCAGGAGTTACCTATCGGAGATCGTCCGATGCGATTTCGATGGCGGCGATGATAAGAAATAGAAAACCAGAGGTATAGCGGATTTCCAGGTATTGCGTCTCTGATTCTTTCACTTTCTCGCGATATTTCTTTTCTTCTTCATTTGTAGGTGATTCATACTTCTCGCTCTTTTCCCTTTTTGTTTCGACTTCTTTCTGTGCTTTGCATAATAGGAAGAATTGTTGGTTGTTGCTGCAGAGAGATCGGATAAAGAAGTTACAGAGTTAGAGAGGTTAGGATGAAGTTGAGTGATGAAATTCTGGTTGAAGGAGTGAGGAAGAAGTATGATGAAGATGATGAAATAAGAACAGTGATGATGTTGGTGAGACCTGAAGAAAAAACACAGAGTGCAGAGAGAGATTTGAGATTTTTTCTAGTGATTTATGGAAGAATGAATCATGATCCGAAGAATGAAGATAGAGGCTCGTTTATATAGATAAAGATGATTGTCTGAGCCATTGGATCTAGAAGTTTCAGTTAGATATTGCAGGGTGGGGATTAATCAGTTGGAGTTCATTAAATTCTGTTGAAGTTTCTGTTATGAGCGGTTCAGAGGTTAGTTAGTTGTTAGAATTCTGTGTAGAAATTCTGTTATGTATTGTTAAAACAGTTGGGATTTTCGGTTGAATTTTGTTATGGAGGTTGTTAGTATGTTGTTGGAAATTAGTTATTGGAATTAGTAATTCAGTTTGCATGTTAATTTTGGAATAGGCTGTTAGAATTCTGTTTAGAAAATTCTGTTATGTAGGTTGTGGTAGGTTTTTTCTGAACTGATGTTAATTGGTTTTCTGTTCTTTGTATTTAAGTGCAGGTTTGTTTTTGTTTGAAAGCAAGGCATGGGTTAGAATTGTACCAAGCCAGTTGCTTATGGATGCATGGATTTAGTATAGGCAAGGCAATGTGTTTGGAGTTATTTTGGCCTGATGTACAATACCAGAACCAGGAGGAACAACAAGCATGTTACGGAATACCGTTGATCCCCATTTAAGAAAAGCAAATCTCTCCTTGTTTCTCTGGAATTCAAGTTCCATATTATCCAGCACTGCATTTTCTGACCTTGCCACATCAACTTGAATTGAATGGCCAACGACGAGATCAACAAGAACCAGAGGATTGATTTTGTTTGAATCACTGCCAAGCTTATTCATAGTGTCTCACATGCACGCCAAATCGACAACAGCTGGCACTCCAGTAAAATCCTGCAAAAGAACACGTGCAGGCTTGAAAGGAATCTCAACTTGCTTAGTAGATGTGTTTTCCCAGTCAATAATCTTTTCAACATCTTCTTTAGTGACTTGGAAGTTATCGCAATTGCGAATGGCGGATTCAAGGAGAATTCTAATCGAGTATGGTAACTTGTCAATTCTTGGATCATTGAGTGAAGGAAGACTATAGAATTTTCCAAACTCGCCACCACCTGGCTTAGGAAGACTTGTCAAGTTTCCCTTAAAGGGATTTTCAGTGGCCGTGGTAGCGATTTTGCGGTGGAAACTTTCTACTGCGGGAGCGACGGCTCTGATCTGAGGACAAAGAGTGAGAGGAGAATTACAATGGAGGCGGCGGTTGAGGTGACGAAAGGAACAAGAGAATGATCGAAAATTGGGAGATGAGTGAGCAGTTAGAGAATGAGGAGAAGCGGGGAAGGTTCTAGAGAAGACTTTTTTAGGATTGGTTGTTCTGGGAAGAGGAGATGATGATGTATACATCGTGGTTAGTTATGCATGAGTGAGAAAGGTAGAGGGGAAGGAAGTGTTTTGGAGAGTTTTGTGCATGTAGAGAAGATAGAAGAAATAGACAAGCTATGGAAATGGAGAAGGAGAGGGAAATGGGGTGGTATGTTCTATGTGGGAGTGTGCACTTGCAGTAGCTTTTCTTTGAATGATATTTACTTGAACTGGATTTGAATTGGTGTATGTATGTTGATGACTTGTATTATTGAACTGTAACTATTTTGATGCGTTGGTTATGAGTTGTTTAGGAAAAATGTTAGAAGTAGGTGGTAGAAAAAATGTTATTTAATTCGGTTATTAATTGGTAGCTAGTTATGAATGATCGGGACCGGGTTTTAGTTGGTTAGGCTTGGTGACTATTTTTGTATGAAGTCATGATTGTTTGGGAAGACCAGAATGAAGCTGACTGCTTTGAATATGCTATTGCAAGATTTATGTTGCACGCTTTAAACTATGGCAGCCACCTGAAATTTGATGAACAATAGCCCAGGTTTTGTAAGCTTTCGGTATATCACCTCTTGTACAAATTAATCAAGTTGCAGCAGGTTCCAAACATGTTTGGTCTATTTGTGTCCCATTTTTGAATTGGTTTGGTTGATACATGTAGGGCTGCAATATAATTATGTAACAGCTGCTCTATTTGCTTTGACTGTGGATTTATGGTTTGCTGAACTACTCTTGTGTGTGTACAGCAGGACCCTTTCAGCATCGGAATTTTGTATTGGATGTTTGGACATAACTTGTAATGGCCATTGAAATCTTTGTAATGGTTTTTGAATAGTCGAAACTCGAACCTTTAACAAAGATAAACATAATGCTATGTAGACTTGACTCAATCACCAAATACAAAATTTTGCGCAACATGGCCATATCAATGCACCCAAAAATTTCTTAGCCTTTCATTTCAAAATTCCTTGGTTTTCCTCGAATGAATCTTGAATGAGATTTTTCATTATGGATGAATCTTGCAACCTTAAAATATTGATCCACTTGAATGTCCCGCTAGTATAACATATCCATATAAATGGGCTTTCCAATCTACATGCTTGAATCGGCCATAAGGGAGTCATAAACCGATACCTTGAATTATGCTTCTTGATTATTTGCCAACGGAATTCATAACATATATGAGCCCTTGAGCCGGTCAACGCTCGGAAATAAAGTGAAATTAGTATACTTCCATGGCATGTTTAATCACTGAACCTTAATCTCAATTGAATCAATAAATTATAGTCATCTTGAATTTGAAACAACCACCTTTCATTTGATAAAATGAGCTAAATGAACTCCTGACCCATAGCTTAACTAACAAGACATATCTGGACTTGATAAAACCCAAAGCAATCCTTAATCGCTCGTCAAAGGAGAAAACTTTGATTCAATCCCTTAGGCATCTTGGAAAAAAGTCGACTTATAAAACAAGTAGTCCTTAGATGATGACGAACCTCTAACAAGGGGAGGGTAGTGCTCCATGTAGCCTTGAAGTGAGACTTTAGTCCGATAAACCTCCATTGAAGAACCACTACCAAGTTTGAACAAAATGAAGAGAAACTCTGATTCTCTTGACCATCCTAATTCCACTGTTCACTTCCTGAATAAGAAATCAGCCTTTATTGGATACGAACACCTTAACCGTTGCGAGACCCGGATATCGCACAGCCACTGAACTTTGAGCCTCGGGCGTTTTTATTGAATGCAAATGACCTAATAGGATATATACAGATGAATGCAAGAGTCTAAGCCAGATTAAAGAAATTAGGAGGGCAAATTTTAGGGTGCAACAGCTGCCCCTATTTAATCGCCTTCAACCTGAAGGTGAGATTGGCGTCAGCCTTTCGAACTTTCGAGATGGAAGAAGATTAAATACTTAAAAGAACCCGAAAATTTGCGCTCCGGAGTCAGTTAGGTATTATTATTTTTCATTTTCTGAATTTATTATATTATTTTGCTTTTTGGATTACAGTGGTTAGATGAGTAAATCTCTTGGATGTCAGGTCAAGGTTAGACATACAAAAGAAAGAGACCGACCAAAGGAGGTTCTGACGAAGGAACACCAAGCAAAGGCGAACTTTACTGAGAAAAGAGACCAAGCGAATGGGGCTCCCGACAGATGATACCAGTCAAAGATGGATTTAAAAGAAGTGACACCAGCCGAAGCGGGATTTTAACAAAGGATACCAGCCGAAGCGGGATTATAACAAAGGATACCAACCGAAGCGGGATTTTAAAGAAGGATACTAGCCGGAGCGGGGTTTTAAGGGATGCCAGCCGAAGGTGGACTTCAGGATAAAGAGACCAGCCGGAGGGGAATCTTCATCGAGGAATACTATGCCGAAGGTAGATTTTAAAGGATGCCAGCCGAAGGTGGACTTTAGGATAAAGAAACCAGCCGAAGGGGAATCTTCATCCAGGAATACTATGTCGAAGGTAGATTCCTAAGAAAAGAACGCCGGTCGAAGGCGAACTTACAACTGCAAAGAGACCAGCCGAAGGGGACTCTCAACAAATGATACCAGTCGAAGGTGGATTTTAAAGGATGTCAGCCGAAGGTGGACTTTAGGATAAAGAAACCAGGCGAAGGGGAATCTTCATCCAGGAATACTATGCCGAAGGTAGATTCCTAATAAAAGGACGTCGGTCAAAGGCAGATTCACAACTGAAAAGAGACCAGCCGAAGGGGACTCTCAACAAATGATACCAGTCGATGATGGATTTTAACAAATGATACCATCCGAAACGGGGTTTTGAAAGATACCTACCGGAGTAGGATTTTAACAAATGATACCAGCCGAAGCGGGATTTTGAAAGATACCTGTCGGAGCGGGATTTGAAAGATACCAGCCGAAGCGGGATTTTAACAAATGATACCAGCCGAAGCGGGATTTTAACAAAGGGTACCTGCCGAAGCGGGGTTTTGAAAGATAAAGGTATGCATATCTGGTCAGAGTTAGATACACAGGAGTGGAATTGAGCATCAAGAAACAAATGTTTAGAGTTGATAGTGAACACAGGAATGAGACTAATCGAAGAAAGCCCCAATAAAAAGGATGTATTCGCCTCAACAAAGACGCCAGAAAACTGGACTCTGAAGAGACACTGCAGGACTCTTAATCATAAAAGGTTAGCTAGGCTAACGAAAGGAGGACCCGACTAACATGGATAAACCAAAACAGGGAACCGACTAAGCAGGACCTTTATAGAGCCTCGATCGAAGGTGAACTCTACAAGAGAAAGAGACTGGTCAAAGCAGACTCTAACAAAAATTTCCAATATACGTTGGGCCTTCGATAGTTTGCAAATATGCAAGGGCTAAAATCCCTCCGGCCAGAGGCGGGTGTAATTCTTCAAAAGTGGCAATTATCTGAATTACCACACACCAAGTATGGATACTCAAACACTTGAGAAGCAAGAATGGTTATACACCGACTCTTACTCACACTCTAACGGCAAAGCAAACACGGGTAAAATAACCAAAGGCCTGCAAAGGCAAGCGCGAACCACAAACTTACTGGGGGAATGGAGAAATACCAAAGACCTGACTGGTGGTGAATCAAACAAACTCTAACGGGGAAACATCATAGAATTACCATAGGCTTGTTGTGGAGATAAATCAAATCTGAGCATATAACAATCTGGTTACCACAGGTGGACACAATTGGCTTATACTCATGCATGTTTGAATTATTATTTTTTTCTTTTTTTAGCG